CCTGACTCTTAGCTGGAAGTTCTGTCTCTTGGCAAGAGACGAGTCTCGGCCCACAGCTCCTGTAGCTGGGGTTGTACTGGCCACGGTGGGGTAGGGGGCCTGTTATGATCTCGGGCTTCTAGAAGGTTCCGTCAAGTACAGGCAAGACCAGCTGTGTTTTTTATGGAATAACTAATGGGGTCGATTCCAAACTCGGTGTTGACTCCACGGAGACCAGCTTTACTCACACACAAACCAGGAGAGACCCTTTCTGAGTTGACGTCATCGGTGACGGCGTGATTTATTGAAGTGATGTGGTAGTGTGTGTCAGTCAGCTTTCCCCGACTGTCACCAAAACACTGAGAAGAACCGCTGAAGCGGGAAGGATCTCTTTTGGCCTGTGGTTTGGAGCTCCAGTCCGAGGCTGGCCGCAGGGCAGAGCGCGTCAGGGCGGAGGGTGCAGCGGGGGAAGCAGCTCTGCTCCCGACAGCGGGAAGCAGAGGAGCCAGGAAGAGGCTCGGGACAGGCCCCAGCGACCCGCTCCCTCCAGCTAGGACCCTCCTCCCAGGAGTCCCTGCAGCCCCAGGGGTTCATCCCTGATGAGGTCAGAGCCTTGGTCCAGTGACTCCTGAGGCCACCTCTGGGCCGTGCCGCGTTGGGTGCCAGGCTTTTAACAGGAGCTTTCAGGGACATTCCAGATCAAACCGTGAGAGTGACAAACCAGGCCTTAGGGATCTTCACCTGCGTTTACTTACTTCTACTGGTGGCAGGCTTTATGTGACATGGAACGTGCCACTTCCACAGGGACAGACAGTGGCATTGATCTTTCACATTGCCGTGCCGCCGTCATACCAGCCACCTTCAGAACCTTCACCGTCACCTCCTAAGACGGAGGCTACCCTGTGGCCCCTGACCTGCCCGGTGCGTCCTCCTCCTCCTCTGAACCTGACTCCGTGGGCGCCACCTGGCCTCAAGACTGTGGTTTGGTCCTTGTCCCCCCACCCTGGGGGCTGTCAGTTCCTTGGAAGCCGAGCTGTGACACCTCCCTCAGTCCCCAGGGATGGGCCCACCACTTGGGCTACAACTAGATCCGCACCCTCCTCCAGCCACTGTCACATCCATATGAGACGGTCACATGGGCCCCACCCCGGGCCCTGGAAAGTCCCTGCCGACCTGGTTCGGGTGACGCAGGAAGCACCACCATCGGCCCCGCAGCCTCAGGCCTGCCGTCTGCCTGTGTCCTCTGCCCTCTCAGGACAGTGTGGCGACTCGTCCTTCCCAGGGTGGGCACAGAAGGTGCACTGGACTGCCTTTGGGGTGTTGGAGTGGCGGGACGCTGACCCTCCAGCTGTGGAGAAGGCACCTGGACATAGGCTGGGCGCTGGAGCCCGCTGTCCTCGCAGCATGGACCTCTGCACCAGCCGTCCACGCTCCCGGGGAGAGGGACATCCCGAGGGCAGAGTGTGGGCCACTCAGCCTCTGCCCCACCTTCTCCACGCAGCGTGAGCAGCACCCCTTGGGCTGCCGGGTCCCACCCAGAGGAGCAAGGGAACATGGTGGCTGAGTGTCGCGTGGGGTCCTGGGGCGGGAGGGACACTAAAGACTGGGAGACCTGAAGACCGCGGGCTGCGGGCAGGAGGGGCGAGGCCGCCGTGTGGACGGGGAGCCTGGGCACGGCCCCTGGTGAGTGTGAAGCTGTTGGAACATGAAGGTGACTCAGAACAGAACCTGTGCCCAGCCGGGCCGCTGCTGAGAGGATCCACGCTGGCAGCTGCGACTCCGTTGGCTCAGCCTGGTGCTTCATCGCGGGGGTGGCCGCTACGTCACTCGGTGGCCCCTGGCTGATGGGCACTTGGTTTGTGTCCCAGAGGCTTGTTGAGAGCAGTGGCTCAGAAGCCCACCCCGGAGGCCGCAGAGTGCAGGACCGTTGTCCCTGTACCTGGGTGTCCATGGTCGTGACGCTGACGTTGGGTGGCGGGTGACGCCTGTCGAGTTCCCAGCTCAGCAACGTGAGCTGACGTTTAATGCCGTTTCCTGGCGCCCAGCGAGCGTGAATCCCTGGAAGTGGGTCCTTGCTGCAGGTTTCCGCTATGCTGTGCCCTCCTGGGTGCCCACGGGCAGGTGGCCGAGTCCTGCAGCCCCCAGCCCTGGGCACAGGAGAGCCCAGTGCAGCCAAAGAGGTCTGGGCTTTGAGTTTCCCTGTGGCCTCTACAGCCAGGGCCAGAGCAAACAGACCCACAGTGGCTTCAGGAGAGAGGAGTCTGGTGAGTGGTCACCGGGAGGCCAGCCATGTCCTGCCTGCTGTGTTGTCACGGCGTTGGCCAAGGAAACCCGGCAGCTTCCAGCAAGTAAAAACAGCTTGGGTGGACAAACGGAGCCTCCCGTGCGGTCTGCGCGGCAGCGCGGGGTGGAAGAGCTGTGTGGGAGCCTCCTCCGGCCCAGCGTGTTCACCCAGCAGCTTCGCAGATGGGAATGTTCTAGATGTGGCAGGAGCAAGACCTGCAGGTCTCAGCCCTCAGACTCCCCGGGGAGAAACAGGTGTAAACAAATAAGGGTGAAGTCCGGCAGCGGCAGCTCCTGTGCAGGAATGAAGTGGGGAGCTGCAGGTGACGGGTGTGCCCTACAAGAGGGCTCCCGTGGGGGGCAGGTAGCTGGGACCCAGTTGGTCCTGCTCCAGGTGGAAGACAAGATGGGCAAAGGCCCTGGGGCAGGAAGAAGGACCATAGGTTGGCAGGGCGGCATCACTGTGATGATGGGGAGGGTGAGGGGACATACCATGAAGGACCATAAGACAGGGCAAGGGCTGTGTGTTTTATTCTAGGTGTCACAAGGGGCCACAAGGCAATGGGTGATGGCGCCACCCTTGGGGACTGTGACCGCAGCATGAGGCTGATGGTGGAGGGAAGCCGGGGCTGATAGGCCAAGCCGAGCTCACAGGGTTCAACCAGGCTGTCATCTTTCCTTTGAAAATTGAATGGCAGCGTCGGGTGCGATGGCCCACGCCTGTGATCCAGCGGCTTGGGAGGCTGAGGCAGGAGGATTGCGAGTTCAGAGCCCGCCCCAGCAACAGCATCTCCGTTTCCCACCTGTTTTTCTTTTTGTTTCTTTGGTGCCAGGGACTGAGCCTGGGGTGCTGAACGCTGAGCCCAGCCCTACCCTCTTTAGTGTTTGCTTTGGACAGTGAGGCTGAGCTGCTGAGGCCGGCCTGGAGCTTGTTATCCCCCTGCCTCGGGCTCCTGAGTCCCTGGGATCGCAGGCGTGGCCACGGCACCCAGCTCAGGGGGGATGGGTGGCTCCTGTTGGGGTGTCCTGGGAGCTCAGGTTTCCCGTGACAAGGCTCCTGCCTGCAGTCCTGACTGCGGCTGCTGATGCTCTTCACTGGGTGGACAGGTCACGTGACTTGGATCCTTGTGGCCCAGAGACAGCCGGGGCTGCAGGCGCCCAGGGAGAGCGGCCCGGGATGTGGGGGCTCTCTCTTCCCTCTGCTGTTTTGGGGGCTTCTTGCACATCTGTCTGCACATCTGTCTGCACATCTGTCTCCTCTGGTTCTGGGCTTGGAACTGGGTTGTGCCGACTCTGTGACCAGCGTCGTCCTCCCTTTGGGTCTGAGTGCCCAGTACTGTCTCTTGGTTTGTCCACTGTGCCGGCCCCGCGTGCCTTCCTTGGCATCCCTGCCTGTAAAGTGGGCACGACGGCGTGTCTGGGTGGGGCAATCCCGCAGCACCAGTGCAGGCTTGCAGAGCTCCTGGGGCTGGAGCTGGGCTGGGGACGAAGGGTGGAATGTGGGCAGAGGGCAGGTGCCTGGGGTGCGAGGGCCTGGTGGCCGGGTCTGTGATTGGAGTGAGGCAGTGAACCCCTGGGAGCCCTGAATCATGGTGGTCCCTGGGGTGCTCCCCTTCATGGTTGGGGGCCACTGAGGGCCTCTGAGCAGGGGAAGGACATGGTGGCTGTGGTCTGGCGGCTGGTG